GAGTGTGTGTGTGAGTCTGAACGTGCGTGAGTGTGTGAGTGTGTGTGTGTGTGTGTGTGTGTGTGAGTTTGAGTGTGTGAGTGAGAGTTTGAGTGTGCATGAGTGTGTGAGTTTGAGTGAGTGCGAGTTTGAGTGTGTGTGTGTGTGTGTGAATTTGAGTGTGCATGAGAGGCTTCATTTTCTTTAAACCTGCTTTTTAAATTTTGGGTGAACAAGCATTTCTTGTGTTCATGTATGACATTAAACGTGTGTGTGTTTATGTGTGTGTGTTTCCACAGGCAGCGAATCCCGGCTGTTGTCTGGAGGATTTCGTGCGCTGGTATTCTCCGAGAGATTACGTGGAGGAGGAAGTGGTGGATGAGGCGGGACAGACGGTCATACGGGGCGACCTGAGCACCCGCATGAAGATCCCTGGCAACATGTGGGTGGAGGCCTGGGAGACGGCCAAAGCCACGCCGGCCCGCCGACAGAAGAGGCTGTTCGACGACACCAAAGAGGCTGAGAAGGTCAGAACCCTGAGTCTGGATTCAGACTCTTTCCAGGAACACGATGAGCCGGATCTGCTTTTGTTTTGTGTTGGATTAATATCACACGTTCATTTCAAGCCACACAAACCAGATCATTCTGTCTTTATCTGCTCACTCTCATGCACTATAAAACACACACGTGTCCCTGCGTCCTTCAGAGCAGCCAATCAGAGCGCAGGCCTGCTGGAAGTGGGTTAAAACACGAGGTGTCGTTACTGCGGGACTCACTTTGGCAGGTTGAAAGTGAGTTCAGTAAACGCTGGCGTCCGTGAAGGTCGCGTCTCTCTCTGTCCTTCAGCCGTCTGTCGCGTCCTCGTGGGGAAGCTGCAGGATTTACTCTGAATTAATTTGCTGATTTAATTTCTTCTGCTGTGTTTTGCTCCAGTAACGTGTCCTCGGTGACAGTCGCGCATGTGTTCTGCGGTCGCACGGCCTGAGGGGAAGCGTCTCACGAGCCGTACAGTACAGTACAGTAAAAACCTTCCCAGCGACCCACTGCATCTGTGATACTCAACCTACAGCGCATATTAAAATTACAGCTGAATAATTTAATAATTACATCAGCTAAAATTACACTTACAGTTAGAGGCGTTATATTAAAATAATTCAACAGTTAAATCACTTAATATTACATTTACAGTCTGAAACATTGTCTAAATAGTTTAACAATTAAAATGCTTAAAGCAAGGTTTAAAAAAATATTATATTTAAATAATTTAATAAATAAAATGAACTGAAAACTGAAGTGTGTGTGTGTGTGTGTGTGTGTGTGTGTACGCGTTTTTGTGACAAATGAGGACATAAATGTGTATAATGACAAAGGTATGACAGGTATTACAAGGAGAAGGTGACTTTTCAGGACATTACCCCATGTCCCCACTTTTCAAAACGCTTATAAATCACACAGAATGGAGTGTATTGAAAATCTGAAATAGCAGAAAGTCTCCTGTGAGGGGTAGGTTTAGGGGTAGGGTTGGTGTAGGGCAATAGAATATACAGTCTGTACAGTATAAAAACCATTACGCCTATGGAGAGTCCCCATAAACCATAAAAACAAACCTGCGTGTGAGTGTGTTTGTTAGCTTTAGTTTGCACACAGATTCATCTTCAGAGTGAACTAAATCTGACAAAACCTTCTTTTAGGGACATTTGGGAGCATAAGCGACCGGAAAGATGACTCAAACCTTGTTTTGTCTTTTAACTCAATCTCTGCAAACAGTTTATGGTGTGGTGTGGGTCAGTCCGCACATGAGTTAATAATGTGTCGTATGTGTGTGTGTAGGTGCTGCATTACCTGGCGCTGCAGAAGCCGTCGGATCTGACTCTGCACCTGATGCCCTGCGTGCTGCACGCGGCTCTGCTCAAGATCAAAGAGGAAGGTTAGTGTGTATCTCTGAACTGTAAATACAGTGTGTGAGACCTCACTGCCGCTGTAAACGTGATCTCTCCTCCAGAAGCGTCTGAAGACATCGCGTCGGTGCGTAAGGCTCTGCAGCAGGTCACCGCTCACGCCAGCAAACTGCTGCGGCACCCCAACCCTGACTTCAAGAAGCTGGAGGTGAGTGTGAGACCGCGTATCGGCCGCCGCCGCGCTCGCGAGTGAACCCCTGTGTGCTCTGTGTTTCAGGACCTCATTCTTCAGATGAGCGCGGTGGAGGCCGTCATCGCTCGCGCCCGATCGCTCAAGGCCAAGTTTGGCATCGCTGGAGGAGAGCGAGAGGAAGACGCTGACGAGCTGGAGAGGTAAAGCTTAGATGCACAATATCATCAGCACGTCATTCACTCTCAGAGCAAAAGGTACGAAAGCTGTCCCTGAGACGGTACCTTCTCAAAAGTTACACCTTTGTACCTTATTTACCTCTAATTCTTGCATATTAGTTCCTTAAAGATGCATATTAATAGCTAAAGTGTACATACTAATTGCTAAATGGTACATATTTGTACTTTTTGAAAAGGTGCCGCCCCAGTGACCGCTTTTGTACCTTTTATTCTGAGGTTTAAAAATTAATTAACGGCATCAGCCTGATCATTTTTACCATATTCATTTGCAGATAAGATGAAAAAATGTTTGTTTAGAAAAATCTGCGTCTGCTTAAAGAGGAATAGATTAGTTTAATATACCAGTGTTTTTTTTAGTATCATTGATAAACTGTTATAGTTTTATTTAAAAAATTTACATTTTTATGAAGGAGCACCCCAGTAACAAATATTTTGAATTAGAATTTATTTTTCTATTTTCGGTTTTCCTTTTTTTGTGAAAGGGCATCCGTAGTAAAAAATAATTAGAAATAATTTTTTTGTATTTTCTGTTTTAATTTTAATTTTAAAGTTTTAGTAATTTTGTTGTCTGTTTTTGTCATTTTTATTAGTTATTTTAAAGTTGATTTCTGTTTATTTTAAATATGTCTTATAGTTGTTATTAAGTTGTAGTTTATAGGTAATTAATTGTAGTTATTTTAGTATGTCAACTTAAGCTAAACGAACATGAGAAATGTTGCCTGGGCAAGTAGCTGAAAAAATAAGTTTTCTATAGTTTTATGTTTATTTTATTTCAGGAAATGCAAATGTTTTTTATGGATTTAGTTTTAGTTAAAGATGGTATCTATATACTGTAAGGCTGCAGGCAGTATGTTTTATCAGTGCTCATTGGTTTAGTTTTTACAGTGTAAAGTAGCCACAGTATGCTCATACTTTTTTAATGAATTTAGTGAATTTTCTAAAGTTAAAATTACGGTGCTGTTGGTGATCCGGCCAGTTCAGTTCATTCATTGTTCAAGCTTTTCCAGCCTTGTTCATTGTTCTCTGAATAAATGATTTAGCTGAGGTCTAATCAGCTAAAATGAGTGGGAAAATTTTGGATATCGGCACAAATCTGATACTTGCTTTTAAGCACTGCTTGCTTTTGATAAAAGCTTCTTCCAGATGCATAAATGTGAATGTATGATTATTCTGTGACTTCTAATGTTAGTGAAGTATTCTTGTTCCAAAAACCATCAGAAGTTAGTTTTTCAGCATCATGACACAATCTCTGACCAAAAAAAAAAATCATCCAGCCAGAAATGATCAGTCATTTGTTTCTCCCTCATGTTCTAAACCTGTATGACTTTCTTGTGTCTGTGGAACATAAAAGAAGAGATTTTGTCATTCAGTGAAAGTCAGTGTGCTCCAGTGTTGTTTGGTTCCCGGTGTTCTTCAGAATATCTTCTTTTGTGTTCTTCAGAAGACAGAAAGTCACACGGTTTGGAAGTAAATGTGTTGAACTCACTGCGTGATCTGTGAGCGAGACGCCGCTGCTGTCCCATCGACTCTGGACTCTCCTGAACGTGCTGAATCTGCCTTTAAAGCATGTGTGTGTGTGTGCGTTTGGAGCAGTGTGTGTGTGTGTGTGTGTGTGTGGTCTGACAGGAGCAGGAAGGGCATATCAGAGAATCTCCTGCTGCTCGTTAGTTCCTAGGGGCCGCTCAGGAGAGACACGCCGGCCTCATTAAGAACAGACCCGGAGCTGCCCGCAGGACCACAGACACTTCAGCACGCGTGTGTGTGTGTGTGTGTTAGTGAGCATGTGTGTGTGTGTGTGTCAAGTCACCTTTATTTATATAGCACTTTTAACAATACAGATTGTGTCAAAGGAACTGTACAGCATTAATTAGCCTCCCGAACAGTGTTAGGTAGATTGTTCCAGAGTTTGGGTGCTAAATAGGAAAAGGATCTGCCTCCCGCAGTTGATTTTGATATTCTAGGTATTATCAAATGGCCAGAGTTTTGAGAATTTTGAGAGTTTTGCATTTTGGACCAGCTGGCGTTTGTTTATTAAGCGTGCAGAGCAACCACCCAATAAAGCATTACAATAATCTAACCTTGAGGTCATAAACGCATGGATTAACGTTTCTGCATTTGACATTGAGAGCATAGGTCATTTAGATATATTTTTGAGATGGAAAAATGCAGTTTTACAAATGCTAGAAACGTGGCTTTCTAACGAAAGATTGCTATCAAATAGCACACCTAGGTTCCTAACTGATGACGAAGAATTGACAGAGCAGCCATCAAGTCTTAGAGAGTGTTCTAGGTTATTATATGCAGAGTTTTTAGGTCCGATAATGAACAATTTCCTGATGATATCTCCCAAGGGTAACATGTAAAGCGTGAAGAGTAACGGCCCTAGTACTGAGCCTTGAGGTACTCCATACTGCACTTGTGATCGATATGATACCTCTTCATTCACTGCTACGAATTGATGGTGGT